CAGACACAGTCCCATGCGTGATACATTGTGAAAACTCCATCTGAGGGCTGTCAGCCTCAACTTCACGCTGGGCTGAAGTGAAACACTGGGACGAAGTCGTGGGCCAAACTATATATTTTATGAAAAGTGACGGCAGATGTGCACATTTTCCTTTATCTGCAGATATGTGTCGTTGAACCTTCATTTGGAAACAAACTTATTTTTGCATAAACACTGAATCTGATATGACCAAATTACACACGAGCAAGTACATTTTAAACAAAAAATCAGTCATTACTTTTGATTTTTTTTTACTCTTTACTCCTTAAAATGTTTATATTCAGCATTTTTAATTGTTAACTTCTGTTTTCTGTTATTTTGTTGTTTTACTCTCTCTTTCTTCTCCTGTAGTGACTTTCATCGCTGCTGTGACGCTAACGTTTCCCCACTGGGGGACAAAAAAGAGATTTTCTATTCTATTCTTCTATCTGTGGTCTTTCCAGCTCCCTTTTTAGAGTAGGTGTAATCTGTTTTTACAGGCCAGCAACAAAAAACAAAAGCTCTCTTATATGAAAATGTCTATTAACTTTCATGCTTTGGAGCAGAAAAAGTGCATAAAAACCACAATAATCCAGATCAGTTTGCTCCACTCTGATTTCCTGTGATGCTCACCTGTTCCAGCCAGACGCCTGCACCTGTGGGGTTGGCTCTGAGCTGAGGAAGGAGGTCGTCGGTGAGACTCCTGTGTTGTTCTGTTCACCTTCAGCATAGACAGCAGCTGCTCACATACATAAGTGCTGCTGAACATGGAGAATCTGAGCAGCTAAGGCTAAAGCTGAGCTGGGTCGGTGTGACAAGGAGGAGAGAGAGACACTGCAGCCGCCATAGAGTCATACTGTTGACTTGAGCATGACGCTAAACTCGAGTTCAATCAGCTCCATCTGGAGGTTGGTTGGTGAGCTTTTCACGTCAGCCGCGGACTGACTACTCAGAGTTGAAATCTCATTTTCTGGGCTTCAAAGTCAGCAAATCGCTGAGTAAACTCGGGGCTTGGAGAAGTATTTTCAGTTTGTTTGTGACTGAGGAGGTAACGCTGCAGACACTGATTCTAGTAGCATGGATGCTACGGGCCGCTTCCACTGATGCGCTTACGCTGCAAAGCACTTTGGGATTTGTAGTCTTTGCGACAAAATGGGCCAGCGGACCAGTTTTAATATAGATTTAATATTTGATCTTGTGGGGCAAATACAAATAGACCGTGGGCCAAATTTGGCCCGAGGGCCTGAGCTTGACACCTGCGGCCACGCCTCCTTATCTCTGTTGCTGCTTTTATGTTTTTGCTGTTCTGTGTTCATGAGCCGTGTGCCGTCCCAGTTCGTTATGTGATTCTCTGTATTGCAGTGGTCTGTTACAGCTGATGTCTTCGTTGTGTTCTATTGTAAAGGTTACAATAGAACACAACAACACGTGATGTTACATCCTTGTTCACAAAAACATCAACAAAAAACATACAAATACATTAAAACCTGCAGATTCCCAACATGAGCAAAAAGAAAAGTGAAACTACAAACAACAATAGAAAAGAAAAAGAACCAGAACCAGTAATAACCCTAACCCATATATCAAAGGCAAAACAGAGAAAACAACAACGATGAAAAAACATAACATCACACCAACAAAACCGTACATGACCGTCAGAAAAAGATTAGTACACCCAAAGGACGAGATTTCAGCAGGTAGATAATGTGGTCGTATGGAAATCCCAGGTAGACTCTGCAGTAAAACGCATGTAAGAGAAACCGGACTAAACACACGAACAACAGAACATCACAGGAGTGTGAGAGGGAAACAAGTGTGAGACACACAAGAGCAGAAAGTCCAATAAAGACATCAGCTGTAAGGGACCCCTGCACCAGAGAAACCCACATAACGGACTGGGACGGCACACGGGTCATAAACACACAACAACACAAACATAAAAGCAGCAACACAGATAAGGAGGCGTGGCCACAGGACCACGGACAGAGACGATGGAGTCTACACGATGGATCACTCATGGGACCGTGTCATCGGTGAGGAGGACGCGGGCGGTGGAGGGCGACACCGTCCTCTGCTGCCCTCAGATAACAGGAAGTGACGTCACCAACGCCGTGAGCTCTGAGGATGGCTAGAGCTACTAGCTGTAACATGTCTGGTGTAAATAACTTTTACTAAAGTGTGTGTGTGTGTGTGTGTGTGTGTGTGTGTGTGTGTGTGTGTGTGTGTGTGTGTGTGTGTGTGTGTGTGTGTGTGTTTATGGGGTGGGACTGGGGTAAGGAGAGGGAGACAGTGAAAGGTTCTTGGATTATAATCTGTAGGGGAGTGGTTATATTTCATCTTGTACAGCTCTTGAGTTGCACTTGATGCGTGAAAGGTGCTTGATATAAAGTGATTAAATTTGATAGTTAGCTGGAGCTGGAGTCTAACTGAGCTAAGAAGGCGCTTGGTCTGAAACAGGAGCTAAAACACAAACCAGCTCTGTCCAGTATGAACTTCCCTCCAATGTGTATCAGAACTCTAGTCAGTTCCACCAATCTGGCTCCATTCTTCAGGCCTGGCGGTTCGTTTCTAGCAGCGTTTGCTCGTCCTCGTCCTCAGAGGAAACTGTCCTTAGGTTTCTATGTGTTTCCTGCTCCAGCAAAACTGTTTATGACCTCAGCAGCTTGTCATCAGCTCTACAGAAGCCTGATGATCAATTTCTAAAGCAAGAGAGCATCTAAGACAGGTAGATCAAGGTTTGTGGAACAGAGACGTTCTGTGTACACGCACGTTTCTCCTTTTTCTTTAGCTTATAACTTTCCATCTCCACTCTGCTGAAGGGCCGGGTTCAACCATCGGGGTTAAACAGGTTTTCTGCCTTTTGGCTGAACTCGTGACTACGTCCTGTAAGACCAGTGGTTCTCACCTCCGGCCCACTTGAGTTTGTCCTTTTGGGATTTCTCACACGTCTCTGGGAATGTTGGTAACATGTTAGTACGCATGAGAGTGTGGAATGTGGGAATGGTTTTGCTGACAGCGCTCTATGTAAACAGACCTCGTGATAGAACGAGAATTATAAAGAAATAAAGATGCTGGGTGAGGTGCACTTGTGAGGTCAGCAGTTCACGTGTGGAAAGCCCTAGTTTAGAGGAATCTCAGATACTCATACAAGTGGAGGTAATTAGCAGCAGTTGACAGAAACGCTGCAGGTGGTTTTTATTACATGCAGAAAAAAAATCTATGAAAACAAAACCTGAAAATCCAGATGTCCGAAAAGTCTTAAACACCAAAACCCCTCACTGCCAGATCGTTTGGAAACACATGTAACATTATGCAAGAACAAAACAGTGGGGGGTCTTTCAGTCATCTGCTCCACAATTGATGCAAAACATAAATAAATTCAAGCTGAACACCATCTCCTAATGTGGAAGCTAACCTGAGGAAGAAATGAAGCGCGTGGAAGGAGTGGTGGAAGCTAGGCTAATGTCAGAAGTGAGCTGCAGAACGGTTTCATGCTTTAAGGATGCTGATGGAGAAGTACAGAGCAGGTCAGAGAGAGCTACACCATGTCTTTTTAGGCTTAGAGAAAGTGCTGAGAGGAGCTGTGGGGCAAGAGGAGGTCTAGAGTGGCAGAGGAGTACGGTTAGGGCTATTGTTGCTAGAAGATGGAGGAGAGCTGTGAGACAGCAGGGAGGTGTGCTGCAGGAGTGACAGACGGGTTCAAGCTGGAGGTGGGACTGCAGTGAGAGCAGGGTGGAGGTGGAGGAGAAGCTAGACAGGTGTACTGGACAGGAGATGAATGAAGGTAGAGGACTTCCATCCGACCACCAACAGCAGGCAAGGCGGGTGAAGTGTCTTGCTCAAGGACACAACAGCTCTCAGACCCGGCTTTACCATCTGGACCCTCGCTGTCTCTGCGCTCGTCTGGCAGCCGTCTCCTGGTTGTCCCTAAGGTCAGACACGTGCTCACTGCGAGGCGTTTTTCCAGTAGCACGGCCCTGGCCTCTGCAACAGGCGGCCGGAGGACCTCAGGGCCACTTTCTAGCTCCTAACTGATTATTTATTGTAGTTAGATTACTTGCTTTGCTCTCTAATTGATTATATTTGATCACTGTTTTATTCTACATAAACCGTACTTCTGTATTGGAACGTTTACTATGTTAAGTGCCTTGAGACGACTCTTGTCGTGATTTGGCGCTTTATAAATAAACTTGACTTGAATCGAATATTTATTATGTTTGATGAATTATTTATTGACTTTAACTATTACATTAGCTCCTGTTATTTTATATTTGGTCTAAAATGAATCTTCCTTCCAGTATTTACTCCGTGGGGGCCCTCTGCCTCGGGGGCGGTGGTGGGTCATGCTTGGGTGGAGGTGGGGTCCATGTCCTCCCTCCCCTCCGGGGAAGACGGCTCCTCTAATGGTGCCACACTTGCCCGACCACATCTGGCTCATCTGAACTCAGCCCCATATCATTTTTACTGATGTGTGTGAGGGCGTTGGTGGGAATGAGGGTTATGTAGGCTCATTTCATCCTGTGTCGGAAAGGAGCTTCATAAATAAACACTGACTGACAACAGCAGGATTCCCTGCAGGGAGTAGAGCAGGTTGTTCAATAATCAAAGGGTTGCAGGACTGATTCCTGCTCCCTGCAGAGGAATTCTGCTGTTGTGTCCTTGAGCAAGAAACTGCCTTGCCTGCTGATGGTGGTCGGAGAGACCGGTGGCGCCGGTGTACGATAGCCCCGCCCCTGCAATCGGGCAGCTGTGGCTGCGATACTAAAACATGCCTGCTGGGTTAACTGGCGACTTTAAACTGGCCCTGGGTGTTTTGACTCCCCTCTTACACCAGTGCAGGAGGTGACCCTGCAGAAGATCCGGCGGGGATAGAAACTAGATGGAAGTTCCTAAAGATCCTACATGTGCATGCAACAAGAACCATTCTTCCATCATGGATCATAGGATTTACTAATGATGCCCCAACAGAGGGAAGGTCTCACCATAAATCTGAAGGTCCGGGCATGAGCTTCTTCTTCCTGCTGAAGTACGGTTCAAAGTCCTGAGTCTTGAGTCTTTGGGCGTAGTCTATATAGCCAGACACCTCCTGTCCAAGAGTGTTAGAGTCCCTTATGAAAATGACCGACTGTAAGAAAAGAGAAAAAAGGAAAGCTGTGTAAATAATCAGGACCATTAAGAGGTTTTCAGAGTAAAATCCAGCGCAGATGAAAGGAATCTGGTCAGGTTGAACAGAGTCCAGCTCATGTCGCTCTGGAGAGCCCCAAGCTCACCGAGGCGGCCTGTCTGAAGAATATCCTGCTCAGAGGTGCGTGGGACCTCAGCAGAACCCTTTCACGGTTCTGTTCCAACACTCCTACAGGCGCAGCAGCAACGCAGCGCTGAGTTACACCGAGTGTGGGTTTCTGATTTTAACGCCATCGTGGGTTTAGAAAAGTTCAGTGTGAAGGAGTCCCTCGTGTTGCAGTCGCTCCCTTTTTATTTATTTGTTTGTGTACGAACCTTGGATAAGCGTGGCCTTTTCACTAGGAGGTCTAAAGACAGAAGATGTAGTTTTTATGAGCCATGACAAAATAGGACTCTGTTGTTTTCAACAGTTTTGATGCTCCTCAGGGATAAACAAGACTCTTAATAAAGCTGCAGGAGCTGGACATCTGAGGATTTCACTCATGTTTCTAACTTCACTCTAAAGAATCACAACAAGACAACAGTGGCAGGAGACCGGCGTGGCAAACAACCAGCAAAAACAGAAAAAGGGTTCTGAATAAACGGACACATGATGGTAAATGGGCTGTAACTGATTCAGCACCTAGGGGTTTTACTACCCCCCAAGGCCATTTACAACACATCCATTCACATGTTGGTGGTGATGCGCTACAGCGTAGCCACAGCCGCCCTTGGCTGAAGCCAGGCTGCCGTACACAGGCACCACCGGTCCCTCCGATCACCACCAGCAGAGGGCGACGTGTCTTCTCAGGGACAAACCTCTGGCCATGAGACAAGAACTTATCTCCTCTGCCAGAGTTGTCCCCGTTTACATGAATTCTCTCAAAAGCAGCTTTATGGTTGTTGTTCATCTTCACATGTGGGTCCGCTGTCTTCTAAAACCAGCCTCCTGTCCAGGCTGGGCCCCACCTGCTTGCCCGAAGACTGCTGGAGAAGGGCACCAGCCCCCCGCGACCCTGTGCGGAAAAGCGGGTAAAGAGAATGGAGGGATGGGTGATTGTTTCTCTGCTCCAACACACCTGGTTGAATCACCTGTTCAGCAGCTCAGCAGAACACCTCATCTCAAAGTGCTGCTGAGTTTATGACAGAACAGCTTTCCATAACTGCAGCAGTAACAGCTTTTCTCCACAGACTGAACTCCAGAAGCCTGTTAACCACCTGCTGATTACAGTCAGGTGTGTTGAAGCACAACGGGTGGACACCAACAGGAAGCAGCACTGAAGTCACGTATGTCCCTGAAGGTGAATCCGGTTTTATCCTCAGCAGCAACAGAGATGCGTCTTTGATTGTTTTATTGCAGGTGACTGTCAGCATTTAGGTATAACGGCGTTATAATGTGGGTGAATGAAGCTCAGCGGCGCTTCAGGCAGCCTGACGGCCACACCAGGGGTGTGTCCCACGCACATGAAACGGCTCTGAGAGCCAATCAGAGCCGGCTTCTTCTCAGAGGAGCTGGAGAGCGCGACACAGACGTGTAAATGTTATCGGACATAACTGCGTTATAGAACATAAAGGTAACTTTAGTTACTTTGCTAGGTAACTAATTACTTTGGCTAACCGAGTTACTGACTCAGTACTTTCCAATGTAAGATGCCTAACACTGGACAAGTAAAGAAGATGCAGGATATCACATATTCATCTGGCCGTAGACAACTAGACGATAGATCCAGTTCTGCCTGTTTTTCAGACCCAGGCTGTTCTTTTAATCAATCAATCAAAGATACTTTATTAATCCCAGAGGGAAATTAGAGTTTCAGTACACACAATTTAGAGAACAGACATACATGGGCAAGACACATGACAAGAATTGGTGACTGTGGTCATTTGCAACCCTGAGTCGCGCTACCTTAACAGAGATAAGAGGGTTACATGAGGATTGGTTCAGGTGGAGGAAAAAAAGGCACTTCAGAGTTACCGTCCACCGGGAGGGCAGCTTTGCTCTGCAAAAAACACCTCAGACAGAAATGCAACAGACTTCAGACAACACAACGTAAGTGTCCACTAGGTGGGGTGGTGGGTTGGGACTATCCCAGCTTCAGCTCCTGCAGCCACGATGAAGCAGCTCATGTGACCTCAGTGTGGAAGGGGGGGGGGGGCATTGAGGGTTGGAGGGTTGCAGTGACCCCGGACGCTTCGGCGGCCTTCCCGCAGTCCCGCCCAGGCTGGGAAAGGAGGCAGAGTTGAGTTGCCATAGCGACGGCACATTCCACAGATCTTCTGAGGGGGGAGTTTTCGTTGGAGCCTTGCAAGCTCAAGGATGCCAGATTCTGATTAGAAATTGTTTTGGGGCCAGACAGAGATAATTTCCTCTCTGTCTTACAGTTTGTTGGTCCTCAACCTCTCAGAATCCCAATAATGGACGTTAATCTATCCCAATCCGTGCTGATTCATCCACTCTCTCCTTGATGGCATCCATCTTTTGTGCCAAGGAATGAATCTCAGCCAAAGTTCCAAGCTTACGATTCAAGCTTATGGTGCAAACCATCTCTGAGCTCTGGGATCAGGCCAATATTCCTCGACAGCTTGTTTTCCGGTAAGCCAGGTAGCCTCCAAGGCCAATGAGCAGGAAACCTGACACCAACACCACAGATCTTCAGAGTCCTCCACAGACAGCTGAGAAAGACAGATCAAGTTCCACTGTTTCCAGGAGTCCATGATGTGCCCAACTGGGTATGTACCGGTAGGACATCAGGGAGCCCCTTCTCCCGTTCTCATTGTTGAAAATTTTTTATCAATCGCATTGAGAGACCAACTGACGAGATCCATTTAAATGTATTTCAGTTTCCAGAAAAATGCAGAAGCAGCTGTGCACCCACCAGACAGAGACAGACAAAGGCCTTGAGGATGAGATATGGAGGAGAGGAGGAAAAAAAAGCGTCTGCATCCGCCAAGAGCCGGAAGAATTATTATAGCGTCATCACTTTTGGTCACATAATCAATAACTTAGCATCTTTCATCGTATTGTCTTTGCTTCGTTTGGACACCTAAACACTACTTTAGCTGTCTGCTGAAATGTGGACATTATGCTAGAAACAGAAGAGTCGAGAGTTGTGCACCAACCCTGCACCAGGAGACCCTGTTGGCTATTGAGCTGTTGATGTTTGCATCGTTGTAGGACATGTGCGGGTCCCTCATCAAAGAAACAATTATCCAATACCACCCCTCCTTTACTGTGTCTCCCTGATGTCTTTTCAAGGCTGGGGAGCAGCGGGGCCAGTAGATCGGGTAAACGGCCCAGGCCTCCAGCCAGCTGGGAGTCCAGCAGCATCTGCTTTAAACATTCACAAGAGACAGAGAGAAGGCGTCCTTTCTTTCGTGCTCTGGAGCGTTAGTTATCCTATGGAAGCACAGATGGCCCGTGTCCTGATAGGTCCACCAACGTGAACTCACAAGCCGAGGTCTTCTGCTCAGATCCTCTCTGAGTTTCAGTGAGCTGATACGAGGGACGCATTCATGCTCAGAATAAACAAGACAAGTCAAACTCAAAGGGAGTCCTTTCCCAGCTTGTTTCATCCTGGAAAGGCAGACAAAACAGCCTGTTCACACCTCAGGGATCTCTCCCCATCCATTGTTATCTAAACTATCAAAAAGCACATAAAAAGTTGGTTTCACATCCTGCTGTTTCTGAACAACTTGGCTCTCTGTCTGAATCCAGTGACAAAACCATTTGTCATCCCTTTGGTACTCAGGTTCGGTCTTGTCTGGACTCCACTTCAAAGACTTGTTTCTGAGGAGGAGCCTGGGAGCCGTCTTTAGATATGGGATATAGTTTTTTTGTAGTCATAATCTCTTAATCTGATATGCGTTTGGTTTGCTGTCAGAAGTAAAACTCAAACATGATCTTAGGACAAGATCTGCCTCCTTTATTTAAACCAAAGAGTCACTGTTTTCAATGCCTCTAAAGGCTCACCGGCACGTTTTCCTACTTTGATGATTAGTTATTACGAACTTCATTTTTACGGCGCTGAAGTGTTTCCTTAGGTTTTACCGTCACCGACACGTTTTGTTGCATGAAGCTGCTCTGGTGGAAAGCTCCGAAAGGCGGGCTGAGAGGAAAACTGAACAGTTTACGAGTGCAGCTGGCTGGTTCATAATCTCAAATCAGCCACATTTACCTTCATTCAGATTTTCCTCTTCTACATAAAAGAGACACGAGTCATCAGAAGGTTAGACTGAACACTTATAAAGTGATTTAGAGCAGATATTGTAATATTGAGACTATGGATTATAACAAAACCCCAAAACAAACAGATGTTTGTTACACACACACACACACACACACACACACAGACACACACACACACACACACACACACACACATCACGTAATTTGTCTGTGGTTACATTGTGATTTCTTAGTAAATATTCTACTGGAGACAGATTTTATTGTATTTATCCTAGTGAATCTATAGTTAAACGGGTAAACTAGTAGTAGCACATTCAATGTCAAAGAGAGTAAAAAGTTATTATCAGGAGAGGGTGAATGTTTAACTGGTTAGCAGCAGTGTGCTAGCTGATGGCCCCCTCCATGAGGCCACCACAGCTCAGCAGAACATCATTGTAGCTTCTTCTGGGGAGAAAAACACTTAGAGAAAAAATAAAGTTAACAGCTGAAATAGCAGGAAATAGTACAGTTAAAGAGCAGATTGTAGAAGAAAGTAGTCGAGTGTGGAAAGTGGTCAGTGTGTCCTCCAGCAGTCTAAGCCTATAGCAGCATAACTACAGAGATAACTCTGGATAACCTAGCCTTTTAGATGGAGGCATGTTGGAGGCAGGGCAAGGGAGAGCCGTCTTTACCGACTGTACACTCCACCTCCCTCTACTCCCCCACTTGTCCAGATTTAGGCTACATGAGATTTTAACCATAAGCCCCATCAAATAAAAATGTTTTAAGCCTAGTAT